CCTTGACAGGTTGGTGAGGGTGCCCAGGTAGTCTGGGCCCTGGGCGCCGCCGCCCTCCCCGCCCCCCGCCGCAAAGCTGTCGGCCAGGGCGGCGTAGTCTGCGGCGGCGCGCTCCGACACCAGGCGGCGCAGGAAGCCCACCAGCAGCTCCATGCCCTCCTGCTGCAGCCGCAGCGGCGCGTGAAGGCGCGCAAAGCGCACGACGGCGGCGTGGTCGCCGGCCGCCGCCGCGTCGCGCCCCCTCCGCCGCACCAGCCCCTCCAGCCGCGCCCGCCCCTCCGCCAGCACCCGCGCCTGCTCCGCCGCCGCGCGGCTGTCGGCCTCGGCCACCCCGGCGGCCGCGGGGGAGGGGGCGGGCCCCTCTGCCGCCGCCGCCGCCAGCTCATCCTCCAGCTCCAGGTAGCGCGCCACGCACTCGGCAGCCGCCTCATAGTCCTCTGACGCCAGCGCCGACTGTATGCCCTCCACTGCCCCCATGCGGTCCAGCACCACGCCGATGTGGCCCAGCGTGGCCTGCACCCGCGACTGCGCTGTGTCCAGCTCCCGCACCTTGCGGCTCACCTTCTCCGCCAGCGCCGCGGTGTCGGAGGTGGAGGCGGCCAGCGCCTCGCCCTCCGCCCGCACCACTTGCAGCATCTGCGGCGCGGCGGGTGCGCGGGCATTGCGGCGGGCAGGCAGCGGCTGGCTCTCAGGCTTGGGCGAGGCGTTGCAGGGGTGCAGGCTGGCGGGGCGCGGCAATGTGCAGAGGCAGGCAGGCAAGCAGCCAGGCAGGCAAAGCAAGACTGCGGCCCCACCCGCCGCCTAGCGCTGCCGCGGGCCCCACCTCTTCCGTGGAGACGTGCAGCTGCAGCAGTCCCTGCTCCAGCTCACTGCGCTTGGACAGCAGCTGCTCCAGCTCTGTGTCGATGGCTCGCTCCCGTGCCGACGCCTCGTGCAGCAGGCGGTGCACGTCTGCGACCGACGCCAGCGAGCGCACCGCCTCCAGCCCGAAGCCGCCCGCGGCGGCAGCCGACGGCGCCATCCCGCCCCGGCTGTGCAGGCCCTGGGGAGGGCGCCCTGGTGGCAGCTGGCCTGGCGAACTACCCAGCTGCTGTTTATCGATCGCAGCCCGGACCTGTAGCGAGCGGATGTGGTGGGGTGTGGTTGAAGGGATTGATCGATGGTCGATCTGCCGGCCTCTGGAGCCGCAAGCTCGCTGCAAGCGAGGCCGTACCTGCACATGTACAGCAGGTCAGAGGGCAGGGCTTTTATCGGCGAACAGCGCCTGCCCTGCTAGCACTGCCCTGAAATCTGCTGCTAGCACTGCCCTGCAAGCTGAAGACCAGCTTCCGCGGCGCGATCACGGGCAGAGGGGTTTCTCAGGGCACCAGTCCCGACCCATCCCGCGTACAGCGACCCAGGGAGTGCACCAGGAGCCGGATCTCTCCAGGTGGGCCCTGCAGGCGGTGGCGCTTGCCCTCGACCTACGCAGGGTTTTGCGCCCGGGCTGGTGCCGCGCCTAGGCCCCGCAGGCGAGGGCGGGGTGGCAGGGCAGGGCAGTTGGAGGGTTGTGGCGCGAGGGCCGCCGCTCCCCGCCCGGGTTTTCCTGGGCCTCACTTGCGCCGCCGCCACCCACCGCCCCGCAGGCGGGGGCAACAGCAGTCTCTTGCGCGGAGCAGGCGTTCACAGACTGGGCACGCCATGGCTGCCGTCGACTTCCTCACGGCCGAGATGGCCAACAAAGCGCACATTGATGCCGTGAACCGCGACTACATCTGCGAGCCGCACCTGGGTGCGTGGCAGGGCGCAGCTCAGCCTGGCGATGGAGCGTGCTGCCGTGCTTGGGCGGCTGTGGCTGGTGCTGTGCTGGCGCTGCGGGCACTGGAGCTGCTGCTGCTGCTGCTGCTCAGCCTCCACCAGGCGGTGGTGGCGGAGGGGGCCCCTTTTTGCGCTCTCCTGGGTTTGCCACGGCAAGGCGCCTGAATGCCCTACCGCCGGCGCGCCGCTTCCCTGTCAGCCCACCCACCTCTGCTGCTGCCGCCGCTGCTCGCCCCGCCGCGATGCAGAGTACCGCACAGTGGGTGGCGTGGCGGGACCGCTGGTGGTGGTGAACACAGTCAAGGCACGTGCCAGCGAGCTGAGCTGCTGCCCGCCGCGATTGCTTGCCGGCCCTCCCCTCCATCTCCCCACCCCTTGCCCTGACTGCCCTGCCCTGCCTCGCCCCCTCCCGCCCCGCCCCTGCGTGCAGAAGCCCAAGTACGCGGAGATTGTGAACCTGCGGCTAGGCGACGGCAGCGTGCGGCGCGGGCAGGTGCTGGAGGTGGATGGCGACCGCGCGGTGGTGCAGGTGTTTGAGGGCACCAGCGGCATCGACAACCAGTCCACCACGCTGGAGTTCACCGGGGAGGTGAGGGGGCACGGCGGGGCGGGGCTGGGGAGCAAGCAGCAAGTGGGGAGGCTTGGAAGGACGCCGGGTGGGCCGGGGCGGGGTGTACAGCGCTGGCCGCAGCTGGATTGGTGCCCCAGCGAAGCACTTAGTACGCCTGCCTGCCTGCCCACCTGCCCACCTGCCCACCCGCCTGCCTGCGTGCAGGTGCTGCGCACCCCCGTGTCCCAGGACATGCTGGGGCGCGTGTTCAACGGCTCGGGGCGACCCATCGACGGCGGGTGCGCACCCACCCCTCCCTTCCTGCACACCTTCTTTGCGGCAGCGGCTTGTAGCTTGTGGCAGCCGCAGCGACCCCCGCCTCGCCTGCACCTCCCCTGCCACGGCCCCCGTTGCTTGCCCCACCCACCCCTCCGCCCCCCGCACCCCACCCCTGCCCTTGCCCCTTCGCTCCCCCTGCCCCCTCCCCACCCTGCGCAGCCCCCCCGTGCTGGCGGAGCAGAACCTGGACATCAACGGCGCCTCCATCAACCCCGCCGAGCGCACCTACCCCGA